TTCAGCTTCAGTGTCCAGATTCAAAAATTCAATTCAGTCCAAATTATGTCCAAATTCAGAAATCCAATTGTTCCAAATGGTGTCCATGCAAAAGAGGACGATGGTATTGTCCATGTCTCAGCAGCTCACAGCCTGACTGGAATCAGGGGCTGTGCAGATTGTCCGTGTGCTGGTCCAGATGCATGGTTTCTCTTGAGGTTTCTCAGTTTTGGCTTTAAAAAAAAACACATTTTTGTGTAAAAAAAAAAAAGTCTTCTGTTCTCTAGATGTTACAGACAATGCCCGCATCCTCCACCACCTGAAAAAGATGACATAGTCTGGGATCGCGTCTTAAATTCAGACAGAAGACATGTTTTATTGTCGATGGTAGAGACAGCACAAACAAAGCACACGATCACAGATACAACAGAATGCAAGTGTATTATACAGAGCGGAGGCATGGAGACCTCCAATCAGCAGCTTCCACGGTGTGCTTGTAGCTTGGCCTTCAGATAGACAAAACAAGGGAAAAGTACTGGCTTCTGCACATTGATAGAATGATGAGTTTAACTTTAACAAAAGTTGCTTTAAAGTGTTATGAAATCTCACAGCCCTATAGTCTGTATTTTAGTGTATATTCCTTATGCTTATGCTTTGTAAACTTACTCAATGTGAACATGTTTTAATTGGCTTGCATTGACAATACCCAGTGCCGTCAGTAAATCCCAGTGTTTGGCAGTGGTGCCAAAGATGCTACAGTATATTGGATCAAAATGAACAATGAAATAAATTGTTAGTGGACTGTGCAGACAATAATCTACCCGGTTGCCTTTTACATGACACAGTGACAATGTTTTGCAACCTAACTCACACTCACCAACATCTAACCTCATTCCCAGTATAGCTCTCCGCAATTCCAACATCACATATTTGACTTGGCACACTTCCTGCTGCCATAATGCATTTGTCTAAAGTTTTATTTCCCGACAAAGGTCATCGTGAATCCTTGTGTGCCATACTGGGAAGGAGGAAGGGCAGAATTCTTAATGCTTGGGACCCTGCCGTTGCTGATAGCACCAGTCAGAGCGGATGGCTGGTCACTACAAGAAATGACGCAGGAATGAGAGTTGCATGGGAGTGGTTTGATAGGGCCAAATGTGTAAGTGGGCAGCAGTTCTTATAGCCTAGAGGATCACAAATATTTTTATCTGAGCGTGCACAGGCCACTCCGGGAGGCCTCTGTGTGTCCGCTACAAGCACGACTCGAGTGGGATGATATTTATACCCCGTAATCTGAAAAGTGGTGATAATTTCAGCCTTGCAAGTGTAAGTGGCTGCAAGTTGTCTGGGCCAAAAAAATAATGTCCAGGCAGGAGAATGAGTCGACAGAGGTTCAAAAGATATAATTAGAAACATTTTTTGGCTATGTCCATTATGCCCTACTCTCTCTGGCAGGTGTGGGATCAGAGAGTGTTGAGCCCTGTGTCTTGAATGAATTTGTGTCTGTGCGTTGTCTTGTTTTGGCTCATATCATTGGTGGTAGTGTGTTGTATTGTATGTTCTATACAGTGCTGTTGCATGCTGAATGGCACACATTGTGGTGTGTAGTTTTGTGTTGAATGGGTGAGAGGGGACTGGAACAACATTAGCCTCACCCACCCCCTTTGCAAACCATGGATACTATATACATGAGTAAATGTGTGGGTCTTGTGAAAAATGTATTGTTATGTAAAATTGTTTGTTGAAGGCTGATGTGATCAAAGAACTACCCTTTAAGTTTACCGCTTTTCTTTGTCCTTTGTTAAACAGAATAGTCCCACTGAGATTGGAAATTCCTAAGTAGCTCAGAAAGACTTTACAAGTGTTATTTTTCTTGCCTTTTTCTACCTGTAAGTGTTACTGTAGGACAGTGTTCAAGGTCTTGCACTGGTCCAGACCAGAGCAGAGAGGATTCATAGACCGAACCAAGCAGATCAAGCAGAGATCCACTGGAGCAATGCAATTTTTTTGGTCCGAACCAAGTGGCTACACCCTCTGTCCTACTCCGCCCAGTGGCCACTCCACCTCTGCTGCTGTGACCTTATGTGATGTTGCATTGTAATACTATTGTTAGCTACTTATTGAATTATCTATTTGTTTAGTTTGTGTGAATGCATGTGTTTCTGCTTTTACTGGACACCTGAATCTCTCCTACGGGAATCCATAAAGTATCTACCTACATATCTATCTTAAGGGAATTCCACCAAGGTAGAATATTATTTGCTTTAGTCATTATTTATAGCCTCAATCCCCATGAGCAAAACTAGAGATTCAACCAAAACCCCCAGGGCGTCTCTTCCTGAGCAACACTGAGCAACACCACCTGGTGTGTCAGAAGGACTCATGCATTTGAAATTCAAAGATTCAAATTCAGTTTATTTGTCAGTAGCAGTTTAACCTAGACTTTTTGCAGAGGGGTTTTCAGTAGGAACACCCCAACCAAATCTAGTGGTTATTCAAACAAATGTACAGCCATAGATAGTAGAATAAAACAAAACATATATATTTATATTGTTAAAGCCACTCTGTGTAATTTTTTTAATTGCTGTCATAGACTTAGAATTTGAACTATACAAGTACATAAGAGCAGAGCACTATCCAAGTCAATGCGCCATCTAAGGGACAAAAAGAATGCGAGAATTGCGTTTTTGTTTCACAGGTTCTACTGATATCGTTGCTTTTACTGTGCCCTCACAAGTTTGAAGTAGGAACCATGGAGGACCACAGTTATGTAAAAGAACAACCCGAACAACAATCGTTTAGAAAAAGTTTTAAGCAAAGTGTCAAAAATCGCAAACCACAAAAAACGAAAGGCAAAGTTAAAACAGCAGGAGGCAGACTGTGTAGTTTGCACATAACAGACTCACACATAAACAATATGTAACTTTTTCACACCAACAATCTGCAACATGGGTCTTAGAATGTTCCGACTCGCTCCGTGTCCAAATTCTATGTCACAAGTTTCAACACAGAATCAACAGAATCCCCACAAAACAATCGGCAGAGTACTTTATCACCAGTGTGCGTGAATGTTGTGTTCTCTTACCGTGATGATGCAGCGCCTGGTGAAAGCTAATAATCTGAGCTTTTAGCCGCAGTTCTGCTCTGTCCAAGGCAATGTCCTGCTTTTCGGATCATTGTGGTTTTAAGCTCCCACATTCCCACGTCTCTTCCCTTCTCACCGCTTTTGAAAAACCATATATTGTAATAAATCCTTGGTAAAGCACCTCTGTGCAGCATGTGCCGCTTCACAACGCGGGCTTTATTTACATGTCCACCCCACCACATTTGTGGTACGGTAGTGTTTGGAGAGATCCGGTCATTTATCAAACTAAAGGACTCTTTCTTTATTGGTCCGGTGAATTACTGGGTGTTGGGGACCACTGTCAGACACAACATTTGGTCCTCGGACTCTTCCACAGTGTTGGTGGTAGAACTAGACTTGCAATATATGATCTCAACGCTAGATGTGAGTAAAAATTACACAGTGTACCTTTAAACAACACAATCATAAGATTTATGCTATGACACCTGTCTTCCCTCGTCCAAACAACATTCCTCACTGTTGTCCCAGGCCTTTCAACTCGAAAAACACTGGGCTGCAGTGCCAAAGCAGCCAAAGTACATATTAACTGCATTAAAACCATTTGAACACAAGACACAGGCCAGAACACTATGATCCTAAACCTCTCCCCCATAATATGCACCAATGATAAATGCTTGTTCTATATAAGTAGCAATATGTAAGATTTTCATGTCAAGTCATGTTCTTTTTGAATACTTATTTAACTAATAAAAGTAGTTCAGCCGAAAAATGAGTTTTACATCAGAACTCACAGCAATGTGCTAATCTCACTGGTTTAGTAACAAGTGGCCGCAGGACTAAAAAGGTCTCGTTATGATCCTCAAATCATTAATGACAAAAAAAGGACTAAACAAGGATTTCTATCGGGGCCTTTGTGAAAAAGGTGTTGGTTAGATTTATTGCTGACAACTCTGACAAACTCTTGTCTATTCAGATATTATGGTCCCAGCTGGATTTGTCTGTAGATCTGGCAACCTGAGTCAAGGAGAGTGGGAGAAGTTGCAGTACCACTTCTGGACAGATTTTTACATACTGCTCCTAGAAGACCCATTAAAGTAATGATATTCTGGAGATCTGTTTTATAAAGTGCTTTTTTGGACACTCAAAGATGCTTCACATGTCACTATCAATTCACTCCATAATGAAAAACTACTGCTGTAGCCACAGATGCCCTAAGGAACTCAAACAGTAGCTCAGTTGGTGAGCATTGGCCTTTGAGCCAGAGGGTTGTGGGTTCGAGCCCGGCCTTCACCATTGACTCCCACTGATGTCTGCTGTTGTTGTGTCCTTGGCAAGACACTTAAACCTCTGTGAACACCAGCCACAGTGGGGCGGCTGCGGCTGTAAAGTGCCAAACTGCTGTTGTGTCCTTAGGCAAGACACTTTACCCCCATTGCCTAGAATGAGTCTGGTGTGTGTGTGAATGGTTGTTGATGGTGCATACTGGTTGCCTCGCTTCTGTCAGTGTGCCCCAGGGCAGCTGTGGCTACAGTATTTTTACTATAATAATAATATTATTATTATTAAGTGAGGCAACCAGTATCTGCCATCTCTGACCACCACCAACCATTCACACACACACACACACACACACACACACACACACACATTCTAGGTATTCTGGCAAGTTTGGTGCACAACAACCACGGCCGCTCCACTGTGGCCACATAAAGGCCATAGTGTGCAGGCCGTCAGTGCGATCTCAAACTCTGCGTATATGCGTCTTGCCCCTCTGGTGTAAGATGATAAATCATTTTGAGCCATACAAAAGAGAGGCAGGCATTGATCGGGCAGCATAGGGCACGCTCTGTCGGGAGGACTCAGACGTACGCTGTGTCAGATTGCTGAAGTGAAGGTGTGATTTATGAGTATCCGTTTTTGTTTGTTTGTGATGCAGGGTGAAGGATCTGGAGGAGCTGGGGGAACTCTCTCCTCATTGGAACAACCTGAGGAAAGAGGTGATGAACCGCTACGGAGGCCTCATCAGCTCTTACCGGGAGACGCTGACAGAGATGGACAAGATTACCGGTTAGATCATGGTTTTTGTTTTTTTATATGCTGTAAATTATAGGAACACACATTTTTTGGTTGTGTTTTTTGTATGAGATAAGATCCTTTATTCGTCCCACAGAGTAGAAATGTAAATGTTGCAGCGCACAGACAGGGCAGTAAATGAGCACACCTGGAGCGCACAAAATATACATTATAAGTAGCTGCAATGTTTCTTAGCTTTCTGTAAATGCAATTTTAATATTTTGATATATCTTCATCTATCTATATATAGTGTAATTCCACATGTAGAGCAGGATAAGTGGATAAAGTGACATTCAGTCGACATTTTGAAACTGCAGTATTGCACATTGCACATGATTACAGCATTTACTTTAGATCAGGGGTTCTCAATACGTCGATCGCGATCTACCAGTCGATCGCAAAGGTAGTATTGGTAGATCGCATTAAATAAATGAAAAAATTACACATTCTAAACGAATATATACAAAAAACTCCGGGCAAAGTGGAGATTTTTGAAAACTCCGTTAATGCATTTGTGTGTAGACAGAGATAACCGGAGTTTTGCGTTCTCGCACGCCACAGTACCCCCCTAAATTCCTCTGATCACTGAAGCATGGATCATACTACCTTAAAAACTGTTCGCTGTGAGATGCTCGCAGCAGCGAACATCCTCGCTCCACATCAGAGAGCAGCAAAGTGATCGCGGGGACTCACGCTAGAAAACAACTAAACCAGGACTAAACCAGGACTAAATCAGGGCTGAGGACGGGGTCAGTGCTTGTAAACATACGTCTTTAGTCTTCTATGACTGTAAAAGTGCCGTTACCAGCATCTGCATCAAAGCTCCGCCCACTTCCGTGTTTTTCCCCAACGCGGGACAGGACGTAAGAGACGCACATGTTTGGAATGTTACGAATGTGATTGATAACGCAGATGTGTGGATGCAAATTATTTTATAAAAGGAGGAGGGGAAATATTTGGATTTAAATAAACCAGGCATGGCACATGGACATGGCACCACAGTCAAATGACATCTGTGTTTTACTCAGTAATGTTTTACTGACACTAGTTGACTGCACATGCGCAAACAACCGCGCTCAGTGCAGGAAAGCTAAACCACGACAAACTCGTCAGCGAGTTACCACCAATTTTCCGGACTATGCATCCCTGGCCGATTCAACTCAGTGCAAGTCATCAGAGTAAACTCGGGTAATGACAACAAATGTACATAGGTAATTGTGTTGTGTTGTGCTATATTGGCTCATGCGGTTTTGCATGTACATAAACATACATTGTAGGTATAAAGAATATTTTTTGAAATAAATATATGATTTGCATTTTTGTGGTAGGTAGATCATTTTGACTTGATCCTTTTATAAGTAGCTCGCATGCTGAAAAAGTGTGAGCACCCCTGCTTTAGATGAATGACATGTACAGGCTCAGCACTTCTCATTGTACAGTCTGACAGCAGCAGAAAAGATTCCATATTTACCCTATTTTTATATTTTTTAAACGCTCTGTTCTCAGGTGGTCTTTCTATTTGAATTTTGATTTTTTTAAGTTTATTCTCTCCCGTGAAGTGAGTACAAATGTCACAGTAGGCGTTTTCGAATCGTTGCAATAAGTTCTTGGAGTAAAGAGGCCCCTGATTTTTTTTATATCAACTTATTTTGACATGAAATTGCATTTATGTGAAAGGCGGTTAAGTTTTTTAAATATGAAATGGAGAAAATTCAGTACATATTTCAAATGAGACTAATAACAAATGGCATTGCAGTGCTTAGAAGCACTACTCCAAGCATTGTTCAACACTTTGAAAATGTTTTTACAATCTAATCCAGCTTTATACTTCTCCACCACTTCATCCCGAACCCGTTTGCTGCTCCCCAATATTCCTCTGAGACCCTCACAAAGTAGCTGTAGGTGGACTCTATTTGGATATTAGGTCAACATGTGATTATTCAGAAATCATCTGGCAACTTTTGAAGGACACTGGTTGCACAAATAGGAAAGGGAGTAGAAACCTTTGCACACCTCACTTTCTGTTTCATTCATAAAACAATTGCAGTTGTGTATACAATGTATTTAATTGCGGGTTCTTTTGTGTGTGTATTTCACATTATATTCTAATTAAATATATTCGTGTTTGTGGTCCAAGCATGGCAAAATGTCAAAAAGTATGCAACCCACTGTAGTTCCAACACCTCTCACTCATAGCAAAAAACACACACACAAGGCGAAGGCGATTATGAATGAGCATGACATTGGGAATTGTCTCCAGGTTTAGATACAGACCCGAGTCAGGAGTTTGAGTAACCCTAGGAATATGAGGCGAGGAATTCCCTTGTAGTGTTTGGCAGAGCAAGCTGTCTCATAGCAACCAAAAAAGCAATCAGAATATGTCCTTTCTCATGTTATAGCTGGATTCAGAGATAGAAGGCACCTGAATTGTCAGAAATGATTGGTCATCTATTGAGTCCCAAAGAGACTATCAAAACAGAGACACACAAATCATGTAGAGAAAGTGAAAACCCAAGAATAGTGATTCCACCTTCCGGCAGGACCTTTCTGTGTGGAGTTTGCATCTTTTCCTTATGTTTCCCCCAAATTTTATGTTTTCCCCAAGCTCTATAAAACATGTGCAAAAGATCTGAATGTAATGAGTGAATAGATAGTGATGGCGTCTCGTTTCTGTGGTCGCAGTGTGGAGGGAATGGGAATTACTGGCACAAAAAAGTGTGACCTTGGTCAGTGAAATCTGCGATCTGAATAAAGATTACTGACTGATTTACCTACTTCCCTAACTGAAAAGCTCGCAGTTGCTGTGCCTACCCCTATATATGAGTGATCAAGACATACTATGTAAAGTTTCTTCTTTGATATATTCTTCGTTGATCCCGAAGGAAATTGTACATTAGTCCTTTGCCTACATTTGCATAAACACAACAGGATAATGTTAAAAGAAAAACATAATTAAAATGTTAATAAATACATAAATCCATGTGTAAGACAATGTTCAAGACTCTCCTCCCCCTCTGCTCCTCCCTGAAGTGGTTTTGTTAAAAAGCCTGATGGTGTTAGGGACAGTTTTAAGTCTGTCCTGCTCACAATGCGTCTTTGGCTGGAAAAAATAAAAACAAATTAAGGGGATGGCTCTGAAGAAGATGACAAAGTCTGGGGTCGTGTCTTTAATTCAGACAGAAGACATGTTTTATTGTTGATGGTAAAAAACACGAACACGACAGAATGCAAGTGTATTATACAGCATGGAGGAATGCAGTCCTCCAATCAGCAGCTGCCACGGTGCCCTGTAGCTTGGCCTTCAAAAATCAAAATAAGGGAAAAGTACTGGCTCGTGCAAATGTAATAAGGATGAGTTTGAACTTTAACCACAGTTGCTTCAAAGTGTTATGAAATCTCACAGCTCTGATAAGATCGCACTGGTCTTGGAGAGCATTTTCTGCTCCACCACCTTCTCCACTGAGTCCATGCTCAGTCCAACCTGAGAACCAGCTTTCCTAATGAGTTGGTTCAGCCTCTCAGTGTCGCTCTTCCCCTCAACAGACTAATAAAACATGTACAGTATCTTATCACCGATCCTGAATGATGCCAGTCTTCTAAGAAAGTACATCCTACTCTGCCCCTTCTTGTAGAATAGCGTCCATGCTGGCTGCTAACATTAACATCCACATCTCACACACAACCAAGCAATCCCATTAAAAAATATATTTTTGTTGTGTGTGTGTGTATTATTTTTACATACACACATGATTTATCTTTTTCATGTTGCTATTATTTTCACTAAAATTAAAAAGTTGACTTTGTCGCTTACAACTAGTGCCTGTTGCAGTGGAAATACGACAATAATAAAGTTGCGTGGAAGTTTTAATTTTTGTTCTCTTAACGCACCCTTCACAACCACATCACGTTCGCTCGGTTAAGCCCTAAAAGACCTCGGCACTTGCAACTGCACAATGGATTCTTTGCAATATGTGTCAATGGGAAGCTTAGTGAAAGATTGTTTCATTTATCTGCATCGCCTGTCAAGATGTCACCATAGCAACAGACTTTTCATCAGCTCTGATGGTAAAGAAGGTATGTTTTTTGTGGTAAAAAGTCGATCTGAAATATTGAATAGTACGATAGAGCAGTACAATAGGAGGTTTAGGTTTGGGTATGTTCTAAGGATTCACTTCTTTAGGCCTCCAATATTGCCATTATTTAGCACGCATTCTATTGAAATGTGAATATGATTACATTCTTTGAAAAGCCTTTGGACGATTCCAGCAATACAATTATATTCTGACAGACAAAAAAAGGAGATTAATTTGGGTGCTATTTTGGATAAGGATAAATGCTTGTTCTGAGTGCAACAGGGGGTGGAAAGCAAACTTTTGAAGATGTTGTGAATCAGTTTGATGTATAAAAGTTTAAAAAGCGTCATTCAAAAAGGATTAGAGCAGGATGGTAAGTAGTTAGAGCTTGTGCTTTCCTTTACCACAAGAAATAAATTGGAATAGTCCCCCATATCCTCCTGCCCCATGTGTGTGGCCTGGACTCTGCTGAAATAGAGATTCTGAAATCTCTGTGGGACTTTCCTGGTTAAAAGAAGGTCAATAAGAACTAAACAAACAGGTTTTTCGGTCAAGTCTGTCTTCGTCTGGACAGGGCCTCATTTGCGCAAAAGTGTCCTGTGTCTGTGGTTTCTTTGTAGGATAAATAGCAAATAAATAAATACGATCTAGGGAAAGATTTTATTTTTTCAGACTCTTCACTATTGGTTTATATTGGGCATCAACAGATAGTGATACCAATCAATTCCATTATCCATCAAGATTGATAAAGGAAATAAAAAACTGGGATCAGGGGCTGTCCCAACAGAAAGAGCCTTGTAAATGTAAAACGCTTTGAACAAATCAGACCACAACATGCAGTCTTCATCTTTTTAGACAACATTTTATCTTGATGGCTGATTGAAGGTGGTCCTCTCTATACTTTCCTCCAAAAATACATGC